GATCAGGAGGCTCTCCTCATAGATAAGATAGTCCCTTTTCTTTGTCAGGGGGCTCTTTTGTATTAAGGACGTCCCTTTGCTGACGCGAAGGACCTCATTGGGCATTAAGGAGGCCCTCGTTCGGGATTAGGAGACACCTTGTACATATCATGAAGCTGCTGTTTTGGAACCGGAGGCCTTTCTGACTATCAGAAGGCCGCTGATTAGGACTAAGATGCCAAGAGATATCCTCATCGCGTATATGCACGCTAAGGCTCTGGGTTTGAAACACAGCAGACGTCGTGTCTTCGCGGTAAAACTTGGCTGACAGCGAGTAGCACGTCTAAAAATCAAAAATTGGTTGTACGGAAAGGTTCCCATGAGAGCATGGCCGTAAGGCATTCTTCAGCGGCAGCAAAACTGGCGGGGCGGAGCTGAGGAAGCCCCCCCCCCCCCTAACACACACACATCACCATCGCTATCGCATGAAGTGTTCAGGTCCCTACATAACCCGCGCTCGGCCGGGAAGCGACTTTCCCATTCGGTTTTTCGAGCGCGGCTAAAAAACGAACGCTTGCAGCAACACCAAATTTTCAGCGCCTAGCCACCTGTCAATTTGCATCTTTTGTGCAAATTTGAAGGTTTAATCTGCTGAGGTCAGTGACCTAGGTCAGATCAAAGAGGTCAAACAAAAAAAGAAACTTTGCCCACGTATAGCTTTGCTTTGGGTTATTTGGGATTGCCCAAACTTGCTATAATAATGAAAAATGGTAGCACCTACAGCCTGTATATTTTTCATCTTTTTTTCAAAACAGGCGAGGCTATTGAACTAAAGTCAGATCAAGTTTTGCAATTTCCGTAGGCAACGCCAATTTTCATGCATTTTGGCATATTTTCGGTGTTATGTTATCAGGGAATTAGAGTACTAACCCGCATGCAGAGCCATCATACGACCTCAAAACACATAACCTAGATCCAGGTCATGACCTACCTCTATGCGCGCCCTCTGCAAAACACATGCTGAGCTTGGAATGAACAGTTTATTGTATAACATTCGGCGCACAAGTTGAATACCCTACTGAAGGCATGCTGCGATATCATTTTGATACATCATAAGGTCCGAACATGTCACGTAAGGACATGCAAGGTCATATGAGGTTGTTCAAGGATTACGACCGTTGCCAGTAGCGGAGAGGCTAGACGAACGAGTGCGACGGGTGTAACAACTTCCGTATCGTGCTTGTAGGGCTGATGACGTGTAATATTATGCACGAGTGTAGATTTGTATTCCTTTGGGTGGGCCACTGCCCCCCCCCCCCCCCCCCCCCCCACTTCTAGCCTGCACTCCCCCCCCCCCCCTCCAATGGCAAGTTAAGCGCCCCCAGCCTTCTGGAACCCAAGTAAATGCAGGACATCACAAACAGGAGCTCGAAAATACATCAAACTTAAAGAATACTTAAGGGCATTGTTTCATAGGAAAAGGTGGCCAAAGGAAATGAGAACCGCGATATCGCGTATAGTTTAGGGCACCTGACTGAGCTAGTCACATTTAAAAGCTCCGCGGTCGTACCATGTCTACTTGAGTTTTTCTGTTTTTTTCCGGCATGCCGTATGCTTCTAACTACACGCTATATTGTCTCTTATTAACTCTGGCCTAGTTTTGGGTTGTTGTGTGAGTGCTTTGGCATTATTCAACTACGTTTCAGTTATACAAACCGCAGCAAGTTGCGTCATTTTGCGACGAGTTCTCATCGGAAGACGGAAACAAAATGGTGTAATAGTTGCACCCAAAAACGTAGCCAATTAAGTAGCCGTCTACATGCACGTATGTATGTATGCCATGTATTTACTACGAATAGCTGCATACGTGCAGCTTAATGTGTGATTCGTGTCAATGGGTTACAAACTACAGGATCAAAACGAAGATTCAGCGGTGATGATGGCACGTAAAGAGCTTGAGAAAGGCGCTCAACGACAAACAAATCCCTATTTTTCACATTGGTTAAGTTTAGATGTGAAGGCAGCACGGCTCCGGGAGATCATGACGGCTGGAGTCAGGGGGTTCCAGGACGAGGCAGCACGATTTGAAAAACCCCTACGCGACATGGACAGCCTGAAAGGCGGCAGCTCCAATGCGCCGACCACGGTCGATCTCGTGATGCGCTCACAGCGGTCCGAGGGGTGAACAGCGACCGGACCGCCACCCGTGCAAGGCGGTCATAAAGGGCCCTGAAGACGCCAGTATGGTCGCCGCGCGTAACAAGGTCACTAGTTCCGCGTCAGCGTAGCAACCTTACCACCGGCGAAACATGATCTCAACGCTGCGCACCGAGACGATCCTGGCCGCGAAATTCACGATTTTTTGCACCCGGCCGTGGTAGCAGGCGACGGCCGCGCCCCAAGCTGAGAGGCAGTACAGGATGTGCGGAAAAGCACGAGCCTGGATGAGGAATTAGCGGGCTTCAGGTGTGAGATGTGAATTTCGTATAAACATAACAGGATAGAGTTGCGCTTTTCAGCTAATTTGGATATGTTCTCCTCCCGGGATAGAGTACGATCGATGGTCACACGCAGCATCTTCACGGACGGCAATGGGCCTAACATAAGTTAGAGGTTCAAAGATGGATGGGTGAGGTTCTTCGATGGCCTGGGGCGTGCCGACTAGAAGAAGGGTGGCCTTAGTAGGGTTAGTCTTCAGCGAATTGGCAGTGAAGTAGGATTGGAGGGCAAGGGTGGTTTTCTCCTGACGGAATTTTAGGGTGGATAGGCGATCGCGGTGGGCGAAGTCGAGCAGTTGGGTATCGCCGGTGTAGGAAATCAGCTCCTCGGCAGGCAGGTAGAATGGAAGGTCGTTTGTGAACATGCTGAAGAGGATTGGGCTCATCAGGGACCCCTGGGGGAAACCGTGGGGCAAGGGAATTTGACTCCCTTTTGAGATATCAGAAACTGAGAGTTAGAGATACCAAAGTCACACGGTGTGCTTTCCTGCACGTGAACTCACTTGTGTCAAAATTTTACACGCTTACTCTGGACGGTATAGTTTGTGCATACATATATAAATAATTAAGAACTTATCTAAAAGCACAATGACATGCTTTTAAAAAGCTATTGCAATTTGAGGCTCACCGGTGTTATTTTGTTGTGGATTAGCACACTTAAGCTTTCAAGACATGCAATAAATGTTGATATATATATATATATATATATATATATATATATATATATATATGTGTGTGTGTGTGTGTGTCTGTGTGTGTGTGTACGTATAGCATACATAGTGGATGTACAGTAGAGTGGATGAAATCCAAGAGGTACTCGCCCTCTTTACCTGCGACTCCTCTGTACCTGCGACTCTCACGGCCTTGGACCTGCTCCCAATCACTTTGAGAAACCCACAAAAAACTAACATCTATGGAAGTAATACACAGACAAGGTCGCCATCATTCCTGTATAAGATTGGTCCTCGTGATGAGCTCCAACTGTCCTGCGTGGCCCAGGAACTGACGCCTCCGTTACTTTCACAAACTGCAAAATTACTGGCAGAATTATGAACATCACTTTATCCAAGTTCTCGGGCTCCCTTCAATGACTAGAAATAGGTTATAGAGAAATACGCTCGCCTTCTCCCCGCCCAAACTACGGAGGCTCATGAAAAACTATCGCCCAGGAACACGGTTCATGGATTATTTCGCAATGGCGACGGGGAGGGGGGGGGGGGGGAGGCGATGAAAGGCCCAAAGTTTCTGCTATAAAACGATTTTATTACTCTGCAGGCGAGCGAATTGTCAGCATGGCTTGAAATGTCATGGCATGTTTCAAATCCATTTATTGTTTAAGGGGCTACTTGGCTTTGTTACTTGTCGGCATTCAGTCATTTCGATATTCTTATATTTATAGACTTGAGAAGGAGACACGCACCCCTGGTCTCCCTAAACACGTCGCTGCTCAGGAGACCCCCTACGAGGAGGCCCCATTTGTCCTTGAGGGCCCTTGGAAAATTACACCCCCCGCGATCCGAAATCTGATGACGCCACCGATCCGCACAGAAAACCCATCGTCCACCTGTGCCGATGTACGGAAGCATCCGTTCAATAATTCGTCCAACATCGCTACATCAGTTACTTGTTTGCAAGGTTATGCATGTATTTACACGTTTGTTCTGGGCTACTGCGTTGATTAAAGCCATCCTATTCGTGCTACTTGTGCCGGCGATAATATCTGGTGCTGTGCACGAACCAGTGATGTACTCTATTGTCCTGATCAGCGGACACACATACTGGGTACCAACCAGGCTCGGAACGGCTGTTTTATGATTTATTTCAATGTAAGCCGTTTACACTTCCCCAAAATATTCTGCACGGCTCTGCATATGCCACACATGTCACAGTAACTAGAATGTACCGTACCGATAGTTTCTTGCATAGAATATGAAGTTATTAATCATTATGATTGTCAACAAGTTAAACAATGACACAACTACGGCAGGTTGTATAAATAATGCATCACGTGACAGAGAATCCGTGACAAAAAATAGAAACTTCAGCGTACGCGCCGGGCCTGAATAAGACAGCTGCGCGTGCAACGAAACCAACTGGCCCATCAACCATCGGAGCTTGCGACCAATGCATCACTGTTTGGCTAAGAATGTATGAAGCGACAAGATGGTCTGAGCGTTGTCCGTGAGGGATCAGTGTCGAAGCAAAAACTGGTAGAAAAGGCGAAATCCCGATGAAAGGAGAATAATTAGTTTTGAGACGGTGGGGAACAAGCACGATGTGTTATATTGCGTCAGAAGCTTTTGCCACCTCACGCAGGCTCCTTATAATTTTCAGAGGACTTTCAGTTGTTGCCTCCACCAAATGGTTGGCCGGGCACCACTTCGCTGGCATCAGCAGCTGTCTGTCTCGATGCCAGTTCGACGGCCAGAAGACGTCACGTGTCTCCGCTGGGTCCGCGGTGGCGCCAGCCTGACCCTCTGGCCAGGGTGAGAACAGGAGGCGGCCGGCGGTGGCCGTCGACCATCACCTGCCTGTCCAGTCTAGAGGACAGCTCTCACAGCTGGCTGTTCTCCTGGATCCAGGGCAGAAACTCTGCAAAAAGCCAGCGGTCAGTACCGTCAGACCGGCAGACTCCTCGCGGACTCACAGACAGACTCCTCTCCAGACATTCGGTGATACGGAACGCTACGTTCAACTTTGGGCAAAGATTTCCATACTCTCTTTCAGCAGTATTTGCGAGATCGGTACAAGCCATGTGAATGTAATGGTATGAACTGATATTCATGTAGTCATGTTTAACAAGGCTTGGAAATCAAGCAGCTTCAATTTAAACTTCGTCTCGCGAACAGTTCGGGTAGTGCTCATGAAGAAAAGCAAACTGGAGGTGGGTGCAGCATCGTCTCTCCCAGAATACGCTCCAGTTTATCAGCATGCCACGTGGGGATCTTGTATCCGTCGACTGGCACACTGACGAAGGTGGGGAAGCACCTGAGACGCGGGCGTACACCCCTGGGAACTCTGGCAGCGCGCAACCATTTCCGAAGCTGACGATGCCGGCCAGCGTGTATATTTCGTCGGGAGAACGGATCATCATCGGCCCACCGCTGTCGCCCTGGGGGAAGAGGCCGCATCAGCAGTCAGTCACCTTGTGGCGAAGCCACTTCACTACACTGTCACCCTGCGTCACGGAGGTTACGTCAAAACCTGCTTCTCTGTGATATAGGGATCACGTTGACGAGCGATTTCCTCTCTTTCTCCTTCCTCCCTTCCTCTCTCCCTCCCTCCCTCTCCCTCGCTCCCTCACTCCTTCCCTCCGTCTCTCTCTCTCCCTCCCCAACTCCATTCCTAACTCCCTCTTACCCTTCCCTCATTCCCTCCATTTCTCTCCCTCGCTACATCTCTCCGTCTATCTCTCCCTCCCTCCCCAACCCCATCCCTAACTCCCTAACTCCCTCCCTTCCTCCATTTCTCTTCCTCCGTCTCCCTTCCTCCACCTCCTCCCTCCCTCCGTTCATATTTCTCTCTTCCTAATTCCCTCCATCACAGTAGTACACCCTCCCTCCCTAAGTCACTTCCTCTCTAACTCCCTCTCTCTCTCCCTCTTCCTGCCTCTCCCCTCTTTTTCTTTTTTGCACTGCTTTTACCTTCCTCATCTCCCTCTCAGCCTCTCTTCGCCTCCTTCCTTTTCCCTCCCGCTCCCTCTCCCCCGCTGTCGCACCTCACACGTGTCCTTGCCGCCTGCCGCCAGACCGGCGCACTCTCAGCCTCCCTCCGCCTCCTTCCTTTCCCCTCTCGCTCCCTCTCCCCCCCCCCCCCCCGCTGTCGCACCTGACACGTGTCCTTGCCGCCTGCCGCCAGACCGGCGCACTCTCAGCCTCCCTCCGCCTCCTTCCTTTTCCCTCTCGCTCCCTCTCTCCCCCGCTGTCGCACCTGACACGTGTCCTTGCCACCTGCCGCCAGACCGGCGCACAGCATGCGACTGGTGATCTTCACATTATCAGCGGCGTAGTTCGCGCTGCAGGCGTCGTTCGTCACCACCGGTACGCTGACGTGGTGGACGACCGGCGGGCGCTTCTTGCTTCCGGAGCGCAGCACGCCCCAGCCGGCTAGCACGCTGATGCGGTCCTGGAAGCAGGCGGCGGCGCCGCCGCTGCCGCCGCCGCAGGCCAGCTTCGGCAGGCAGATGGGTCTTACGGCGCCGTCCGGGTTGTTGAACAGCGGCAGCAGCGACTCCTTCAGCCTGCAGCGGTGACACCCGACAAGGTTTAGATGTCTAACGGCAAGAAAGGCATCCCCACTGTCCGTGACGGCAACACGGATACGCCTTCAGCCTGTAGCAGCAGCACCACAGGCTCCCGCCCTCGGCCTGTAGCAGCAGCACCACAGGCTCCAACAGTGCCAGCACATAACACACATGTCGCATTACCAGCAGGCTTCTTCCGCCAGCAGCGACGGAAGCATTGAAGGCTTTGATTTGTAGCGACTGAGCGCTTTGATCTGAAACTACGGCACCAGTGGAGCCTTTGGCCCAGAAAACGAATGGCAACGACACCATCGGTGCACAAGGGCCGCGCCATGGTAACATCCAACGTATCGAACAGCGCCACCTGTGAACCTGTGTTTAAAACAACGGTACCCGAGCCTTTTTAAGGTTGCAAGGCTGACACAACGATCTTGACGGAGTCATTTGGCGCATACATTGCCAAGAACGAGCCTGCCTGTTCGCAACATCCACACTGGTGAGGTTTTTGACCAGGACCAATGATAGCAACGACCCCTTGCTGCAGCAGGGGGTCGGTCAGTGGATCTGTTGCAGCGACGTCGCACGCAGCTCCGCGACGACACTCTTGCAGTCTTCGGTCGGCAGCAGCGGCACGGAACACCAGAGACTTCGATCTATGATCAGACTATGATCTATGATCTATGATCAAGGCTACGATCTACGATCAACAGCTGCGGCTCTTTTACACGGCAACGGTTGCGCAGGGGACCCACCCATTCCTCAACAGCCGAAACTGATCCGGGCACTGCGCGCATCACTCGTGCTTACTCAAGCAGAGACAGATCGTTGTCCAGTGTCTTGGAATTGTAGCCTGGATGAACCAAAATGCTTTTCAAGTCCATCTTGATCTCCATGTCATCATTCACTGAGCTGTGCTTCCTTACCAGGACGCTGGTGCCGCGCGCGGACCTCCTGAAACAATAGATAACAATGGTGAATCCATCAAGTCAAACAGGAACGCACAGACATACACCGCATTTGAGCATGATTATATTGATACGATGTTTTATTGATATGTGTAACTTTAACGAGAGTATTACCGTAGCACCGATGTCATCCTTTGTCATCCAGCTGTTACAGGTCGATCAAAGCCTGTTCTTTTTAATGAGTTCAGCAAGCAGCTCGATCCAATCCGCGCTGCGTTAACTGTTCTTATGATGATTCCAGAGCTTGTATTTATATAATACGCGTGCAAGCTCCAGTTGTATTTGTACACTGGTATTCCTATGGCATTTGTACATTATTTTTAATGTACATTTTTTGTACATTATTTTTACATTTCTATGGTATTTGCACATCTGTACACTATTCCAATGGTATTTGTACATCTCCCGCACTGTTGATGTTCCCAGCAGTTCAGCACGCCTTAATAACAAATTTCAGACACACGAACTGTCGTTATAAAAAGCGTCATTCGTGATCCATTCACCGTGCGGTGCAGTGTGCTGCCGTTAAGATGAACCGCTCGTTGATGATGCTGCCGCCACAAAATGGCTTCCTCGACGCATATCTGTACGACCAGACGAGCCCGACCTGGAACCAACGCATCGTCATGAGGGCTTACGGCCTCGCATGGTAGCCCCGCAGTGCAGCTGACCGCCTCCGAGGTCGCTGACCACCTCTGAGGTCACTGACCACCTCCGAGGTCACTGATCGCCTCTGAGGTCACTGGCCGCCTCTGAGGTCACTGACCGCCTCCGAGGTCACTGACCACCCCTGCGGTCACTGACCGCCACCCCTTGCTGAGCGGCGGTCTCGGTACTTGGGAGGAGGCTCTTCGCTGTGACCTGCCCGTAAAGCACGTGAAGCCGACCAGCGCAAGGTGAACACGACAGCTGGTCCCAGAGGTCAGAGGTGTCACAGAACCGCTGCCGATTGACGGTTGGTACAATCTTACTATGCAAAGTCAGCTTCCATGGACTGCAGCCGAGATTCTATGAACGGTTCCGCTAACGACTTCGTTCTAGGGGTTACATGTTTGCTATTTCCAAGTCCCTTGCTGTTGTCATGATATTCAGATCAGGATGTTAGTGATTTTGCTGAACATATCTAATTTTACACCGCGTTGACATAGTGCCTCCCTAATGAGTTGGTTGGGGTCACTATAGATCACCATAGCCGGCCACCCTTTGGCCATCATATACGACAAAAGCATGCGTCATGCATCATGATGGCGCACCGGACTTAACAATACAAGATGAAGACAATAGGCAGTCAGCGCTGCCGGCCGTATCAACCATGTGGTATAGCTCCACTCAGCACCCTGCTCCGCGCCGCAGAATCAGTTCCAGTCGCCGTGCGACGCTTACCAGCCAGGGGTAGGCGGACCGCTTCGTCGCCTCGCCGCCCACAATGCGACTGGTGTGCTTGCTCGTACCGCAAGCCACGGCCACCGGTGGCACCACCGGCGCCGCCGCTGCCGCCACTGCCGCCGCTGCCGCCGCTGCCGCCGCTGCCGCCGCTGCCGGCACCACTGGCGGCGCCACCGGCGGCGGCTTCGTTGGAGCCACTGCAGGCGCCACCGGCGGCGCCACAGTCGACGGCTTCGTTGGAGCCACCGCCGGCGCTCCCGTCGGCGGCTTTGTAGGCGGCTTCGTCGGCGCCGTCACCGGCTTGGGTGTGACTGTCAGCCACCAGAAGTCGGTGCCGCCGACGGGCGTCGACGTCGTGGTGATTGTCGACGTCGCTGTCTCCGTGGCGGTCGGCCGCGCCGCGCCGCCGGCTCGCACGGAGCAGCGGAGCCGGCCGCGGCCGCGCCGGCCGCTGCGTAGCTCCAGCACCAGCGCCCCGCCCGTCTCCAGATCGGGCGGCCCATCGGAGGCGTCCAGCACCACGCGCCGCCGCTTCGACTCGCGCACCACGATGTAGTCGCCGTGGGCCAGGTCGAAGGTGTCGCAGCTGAGGCGGAGCGGGGCGTCCGCGCTGCTCGGCTGCCATCAGCCGGGTAGGGTCAGGTGCCGCCGCCGGCCGAGTCACACGGCAGCCACCGGGTAAGGTCACACACTGACCGCCGGGTGGGGTCACACACCGACCGCCGGAAAAGGTCACACACAGACCGCCGGGTGGGGTCACACACCGACCGCCGGGTGGGGTCACACACCGACCACCGGGTGGGGTCACACACCGACCGCCGGGTGGGGTCACACACAGACCGCCGGGTGGGGTCACACACCGACCGCCGGGTGGGGTCACACACCGACCGCCGGGTGGGGTCACACACCGACCGCCGGGTGGGGTCACACACCGACCGCCGGGTGGGGTCACACACCGACCATGCAGTGAGCTCACACGCCAACTTCCGCGCAAAATCGCACACCATTCAAAAATAATCTGGCTAGGAGAGGCATAACTTAGTGTTAAAGAAAAAACGTGAGCTATTGTTTGGCAACCGCTGCCTGGGAACTTTTATGCTCAGGTATATGGTGCGAATACATGGTCATGGTCAAGGTGTGCAAGGGCAGGAGCTGACCAAATGAGTCTTTCCTAAAATGAGGGTGGAGCGATGGGGGCTGTTGCACACGATTTGCCGCATCATGCCTGTTAGTTCTCGGCATGCTTCCAAAAGTGATCATCATTTCCCTTCATTTCCACGCTGCGTTACGACAGGGTTAGATCAAGTAAAGCGTTCGAAGATTGTCTAGCATATTTCTCGGATCCTTGACAGATTTCGCTCAAGCTATCGACGTCTAATGTCGGCATGCGGTCACCTCTATTTTCCAGGAGGTCCAGATGAACGATCCGTACTCGTCTGGGTAATTCGGCGACGTCACAGCTACGGTTACGCCGTCAGCTATCTTGAACCTCCCGGCGTTCGGCACTGTAACCAGATACGCAACCAGTAACCACTGTAACCAGACCCAGGAACCAGTGTAACCAAGGCAGGTCTCTGAAAAGGCGACTGCAATCGACAGCCAGCAACCAAGTCCTGAAATCGAGCATCACGACCGACAACAAGAAGAAGCAATCTGCACCGGTGGGAGTTTAATCCGAAAAACGGATTCACTCCCATGAAATCCAAATCCAAAAATTCAATTCTTAACTAAGTCTTTTCGCTTGAAGTGGGCGGGATGGCAGTGAGGACAAGTACACCGTTCGGACCTTCCGTGCAGTGCTCACTCACGCGTTTTGTCACTGTTGACTTGCTCCAGCGGCAGCTTTTCGAGCTGGAAGGGGGTAACCCACTTCTTGGCCTTCAGTCGCCGGTCTTCTGCAGAAAGGTCGCGCAGCTCAAGGTCACCTGTCCGTGACCCTGGATCCTTCTGCCGCCCGCCATCTTTGTCGGAAGCTGCCAGTCCTGAAACCTGCAGAGTCTAATGTGATTTTGCGCCTCTGACAAGCACCCACCAGAACAGTTCTGTAAGATGTTTTGGACGCAAAATCAATAAGCAGTCACTCAGCTCGACCTTCAATGCCACACGATACCCTACTCACCAATTTTGTTTTATAAAACCGACCGCTTCCAGCCACTTATTGTAAAGGTTTTTCGTTGTTTTATGGCAACGTTTTTCATCGATCTCATCTCGAAGCCGCGTCGAAATATGTGTATCATCAGTTCCAAACATGTAATCCAATTGTGAAAAAATCGTAGCCTACCGTGCAATGCTGACAGCGTATCATGACTTGCCGTCCGAAAGCTTAGTGAATTCACAAAGCTCAGCCAGGCATGCCGTCCTGGTGGCATGTCCAATGTCATCGGTCAGGCGTTATCTGCTTCATATGCATCACATTCGTCGTGAGCAGCGCCGGTGGATTTTTACAACGAATGGTTACATGCCACCGGTGTCCTCTGCCGGCTGTAGCTGAAGCATGCACAATTCAGGCACGCACGAGTGATGAGTGGACCTGGCTGGCTCAGTATGCCATGCTGGTCCAAACACCAGCGAGAACGAGCTTGATAAATTCGGCATCATCCATGGGTATGGCCGTCGTGTTTTTGTTTGCCCATACCCTCAGCAGTCTAAGAAAAAGGAAACACAAATAGTCGTCATGGTGTTGTCGATGACAATTTGAACCATGTCGCTCATGGCTGATGCCTGCAGATTATATATATATATATATATATATATATATATATATATATATATATATCGGCAGGTGTTCAATATCTCGATTTTAATAAGGCCTCTGATGGTATAGTTCGTTGAGGACTCATCCACCTGCTAGAACTTTGCAGAATTTATGAATCGTTAGCAGCTTGAATGCAAAGCTGCTTAAACGACAGAAATTACATAAATTTGCCTTGACGTTATCAAGCTGGAAGGCGGTAAATGGTGGCGTGCTCCAAAGATCTTTCCTCGACTGCTTGTAGTCAAATGATTTGTGAATCACATTGAGTGCGATTTTTTTTCTTAAGCATTGATGTTTGCAGATGTTATAAAACCGATAAGAAGTGTTGAAATAAGCGCTGACAAATATCTATTAGATAACCTATTATCTCTAGTGAAATAGTAGATATATGACGGATTTTTAACTAAGAAGTTTAACTACTAACTAACTAAGTTACACTGGGAAGTTTAAAGATCTTCATTTTGGGGAAAATCTACATTTTCGGTATCAGACGAAAGGCCACAACTCACGAGTGACTGGTCATAAATATGACCCGTCTTGGAATACAAAATTATCAACCGCGAAGTTCTTGAACTGTGAGTACCCACGTGGTCACTTTATCCAGGCCCCAAAACGCTAGTTCGCTCAAGATTTAAGTGATATGTAGAGCGCCGAAAGTTGAGCCACTGAGATGGTACAAATATGATAGAATATACGGAACGAGATTGACATCCCTTGACTTACACTAACTTCGATAACGACGGCTGCGGTGTGCCATTACAAACGTGTGCAGAGCAATTTACCTCTTAGATAGTACTGATAACAATGCACTTTTCAACATTACCAGAAACCAAACAAGAGTCATGAATTTTAACTAAAGCACAAGTGTAAACAAATCCAAGACAAAAATCATTCAGTGCCTGGGTTTTCAAGTTTTAGGATAGGCCCAACTTGGAAATTATGACCAGTTTTCCGCTATACTCAGTAAAAGTACGCATTGATGGCCACTTAAGCAAAAGGAACGTTATTTGCCACAATAATTAACCGCTGCACGCCTGCAGTTCCCAGCCTTTACACTGGGTCATCACTAGCACACTTCACTGGTTGTTCCAAGCCCGCCTACGCTATGTTGATCAGTTGCGCGTTCCGTTCCTGTGTAGCGTAGCGTATTAGCGTGGCGTAGTGCAGTAGTGTAGCGTAGTGTATTAGTGGAGCGCGCACACGTTTTCGCTAAGCCCTCCGTCACCTAGTTGTCGCAGCATTTTTTTTTTAGTTGTGTGTGTGTGATGTGCATACCATCACTCGCATTTCTATGCCCTGTTTCATGATGCTGGCCCTGTCATGTGTCTCTGTTCAGAAGAATGCATTCAGGGTTGAACACAACAGGGCTATATTTAGCTTTCCGCTCCCTGCACCGGTTTTGTCGGCGGGCGTCTGCCTGCTGCCGCTGATGGCAGCGACGGAGGCAGTCTTGAGCCACGCCAGTCCAGCGGCGAGCCGTAGACGGCGCACCGCACCTAGGTGACCCGACTCGTATTGCTTTGCATCGACCAGTGAGTCAAACGGCAACGTACAACTGGTTTCCGCACCGCAGACGCCGCAAACTCGAAAAGCGATGGAGGGTCGGGTGCGCCGTGCGGGGGCCTAAAAATGACGCTAAATGCCAACATCAGCTCGGATTGGTCGACCACGACATGGCCGCAAGTCACAGCACAAAGCTGGCAGGTGCCTGACCGATGCTGGCAGCCGGCTCTCCAGGGGGCATCCAGTACCTCTGGTCTGCTACGTGACTGGTTCTGCAGGAACAGGTGCCTGCCTCGTGGTGCTTGAGGAGCGATTTAGCGGGACAGGGAAATGAACTCATGTGGCGACAACGAGAGCTGATGAGTCATCATTGGTTTCCAGCCATCTCACCAGCTATGTGATTTATTACATTTGGTATATGCAGCCGGGGGTGAAGAAAATGTTTATTTCGGTGCTTGCCACGACAGTAAAAACAGGTAACACCATACAACACATACGCTGACGTCATTGTCTGTCGCACAGTTTTTGGAATAAAACCAGTGGAAAGTGTCTTCTTCAGGGAGGAAAACAGAGTTCCGTGAGAATGCATCACGCATCTTTTTAAGTTGCTGATAGAAGCCACCTATGGTAAATTGAAACATATGGGTTAAGGGGAAGGGAGCTCCCTATGGATGCACTTCTAGATCCCTGAAGGAAGCTTATGGGTTTCCAACTACGAACCAATAATTTCTCAATTGTTCGCGATATATCTGCATATATATATATATATATATATATATATATATATATATATATATATATATATATATACATATATATACTC